CTGCAGGTGCCCTTGGTCTTTCTGCTCTGTCCTGGCCCTCAACTTGATCCCCTGGCCTGCCACTACCTAGGCTGCCCTCTGCAAGGTGGGGAGGAGCCTAAGAAAGGGAGGTTGCCAGCTRGGCAAGCAGGACCTCACTACCAGCCYACACTGGCCTCTGGTATCAGAAGCTGAGAGGCTTGGTCCCCTGGCTGGGAGGCAGGGAGCAGGCTGTGCCATCCTTCCACACTCCTCACCCACCACCCACCTTCCACTCACCCACATGTCAGTGCAGCCACCTCTGCTGTCATTAGTAATTGACAAAACCCCACCAGGTGCCTGGCCAGGGGAGTGCAGTGGGAACCGCTGGGCTGCTTGGGTTGCTGCTGGGGCAGGTGGGCCAGGTACATGAGCCCCCATCCCACACAGGCCCCTGGTTGTGCCCCAAGTTCCTCACCTTTCTGAGGGACCAGAGACTGGGCTTCCTTGGGCAAGAGAGGGGTGTCTGCAGCTGGGCACTGTACCTGGAGACACTGATCCTACCATCCCACTGATGGGGGAAGAGGCACAGAGAGGTGAAGTGACTTATCCCAGCACACAGAGCAGAAGCCTGAATTAGAACCTGTACAGAGCTGTCTCCACCAGGGCCAGGAGCTCCAGGCAAAGGCCTTTAGGCGCTTTTCTGAGGAGTGAGTAGAACAACCCCCTGGGGGAGTGTGTTAGGGATCTAAGGGGAAGATTGGCTGCCCTGCAGCCTGAGCTGGCCTTGAGGCCCTGCAGGGTTGGCTCCAGGAGGCCCATGGCTCTAGTGAGATGTTGAGGAAGGGGCTAAGGGGCCCAGCTTGACCCTCTCAAGCAGCCCAGTGTCTGGGGGTGGGGTAGACAGAAGCTGGCCTTGGGCAGATCATACAGGCCACTCCAGCTCTGGCTGGAGTACCTGAGGTCATAGAAGAGCCCTGAGGGGTTCTAGGTGAAACCCAGAAGCCAGCCAATCCACTGCTGGAAGTCACCCCCTCCCAGTTCCTAGGCAGGTTGGGGGACTGGGAAGAAGCACAGAGGCCAGCAGGTGAACTGCAAAGTCTATTTGGATCTGACTTGAATTAATAAGAGTTTCAATAATATTCTTAGCCCCTAAAACCACTTAGCTCATGGTGACCTATAAGGATCTGTATCAAAGAGCTTAGACCCCTGAGTGCTGCTCCCACAGCCCCAGGGGAATGGTCTGCCCTACAGTTCCCACCTGTGGCCTGCTAGCTAGAAAGCCAACACCTGTGGCCTCTGTGAGCCCTGCTTCTCCAAACAGCCTTCCTCACTCTTGGTCACCATGTTTCAGGCCTGAGCCAACCCTTAGATTCCTCCCTTCCTGGAGTATTTTCAATCCCAGGGAAGGTGGGACAGGAATCTTTCCCACCTGATGTTGTGCCCAGTTTATTAGAGAGAAGCCATCAGATCCCTGCCAGCTATTCTCAGCTTCAACCCTGTTCTTCCAATTTCCCTGACCCATGGTCCTGATGGAGGTCTGTCCAAATCTGGAAGAAGTTAGGAGGGCAGCTTCTGGGGCCACCTGCAAGCTTTCCAGTCTGGGCTTCCATGGAAGTGCCAGGGAGTACAGTGTGTTTGTGTGTGTGTGTGTGTGTGTGTGTGTGTGTGTGTGTGTGTGTGTGTGTGTGAGGGTGTGGTGGGCAGCTGGACAGGGCTGTTCCTCCTGGGGACCTTGATAGCCTGGGGCACTCTGGCAGGCGTTTTGGGCAACAGCTCAGGCCCACCCCAGCAGGTAGGTGGACTGAGATGACAGTTTTCCCACCCACGGGGAGACAGACAGGAATCTGTACACTGATAGTGTCTTTTGCAATTAGTTGCTCCCTGATCATGTCCCCTGGAACCCCTATACCTCCCCACCTGGCTCTGCCCCATCTGCTGCCAACTTAGGTGCCTTCTCTCCTTAAGGGACAAGCAAGTGTTTCCCATCCTCAATGGGAAGGGGTCTCAAAGCTTGGGTGAGAATGCGACCCTTTCCCTAGCTCTCCATGTGTGCAATGCATGCCCAAGCCTATGGCAGTCATGTGTCCCCTGGAAAGCTTTTCTCAGGTCTGCTTGAGGAAGTGACATAAAATTTTAGGGGGAGAGCTCTGGGTGCTTTCACTATGGCCCTGTTCTCTTCACACCCTTGAGAGGATTCCAATGGGGGACCTG